GTGCGTGTGTGTGTGTGTGTGTGTGTGTGTGTGTGTGTGTGTGTGTGTGTGTGTGTGTGTGTGTGTGAGAGAGAGAGAGAGAGAGAGAGAGAGAGAAGTTCAGGGTGCAAACGCTGTGACGCCCAACCTCTGTCTCTTATACACATCTAGATGTGTATAAGAGACAGGTTGAAATGATGTTCAAAGTTTATTTCAATGAAGTTGAATTAACACAATTGTGTCGCACAAGTAGCGGCAGAGGGCTAGCTGGATGGGGCGGAGGCCCTGGTCGGAATTGCGGGGGGTAGGCACCCAATCCGCTCCAGGGTTTAGGGGTTAATGAGCAACGGGGGCATTTCAAGCAAACGGGAGGGTAGCAGAGGCAGATGCGGGGCCTGAGAAGGTTCAAAATTTACAGGCAGTCGAGCTTAAGGGGGTTGGTTGGGGTTTAGCGGACAATCTGCCGCAGCCTGGGCAGGGGGGGGGGGTAACACAACAGGCAGCAGCAAAGAAAGGAATGTCATTGACTGTATGCCATTGCACTGTGGGGAAGAGATCTCAAGTGGGGGTGAGGACAGAAAGAGCTCAGGCTGTTACAGCAGCAGAGGACTAAGGCCGAGAGATCGCACTGGCAAAGAGGATTGTAGTAAGTGTCTGAATGTGGACTGGTTTGTGGACAGGTGCGAAAAATTGTGATAGATCTACTTTTCTGCACCTCTGCGTGGAACACGTCCAGATTCAGACACTTCTTCCAATCCTGTTTGCCAGTGGGATCTGGCCCTAAAGAGTAGCTCAACAGGCTGACGTTGGCGGGGGTGAGGTGAGGGGTGGTACATCCCTCCAAGGGAAATGGAAGTAAAGCATAAGCAATGCCGCCCGCTCGGATCTCTCATCAGCCATAATGGGGGGAAGATGATGCGTTAGGGTGTGTGCTCGTTGTACTCTGATCGACTTGACGAACGCTCTCCGCAGAATGGACAAGGAGCCAGAACCATAAGGTTCTGTTTTTGGCAACGAAGAAGAAGAAGAAGAAGAAGAAGAAAAAGGATCGCCTTGGCATTTTCATCGCTGTGTCTAGACGGAAAGTTGGGCCAAATACAGCTACAATGACTGCGCAGTCATAGCTCAGCTTGTACGCCCACAAACTGTTGAAATACAGAACAGAATAAAATAGAGCTCTGAAATTCTGAAATTCTGAAATTTCTGAATTGAAGTGAATTCTGAATTAACTGGGTAACTGGGGCGGCCCCAGTTAATTCAGAATTCACTTCAATTCAGAGCTCTATTTTATTCTGTCCACTTTGGATCAAATGGCCTTAAAAATTTGTCACCTGCTTCCGCCGGACCCGTAAGTGAAAACTTTCTAATGCTCTGCCAAGATAACTCCGGGTTGAAGTGTGCGGTCCCCGTCCTTGCAGATTTTGCAATGGCTCCTGGGGTCTCACACCTAGCGTTTCGAATAGAAGGCTACTTAGCAGTTCTGGAAAAAGGGCCAAAAAAAAAGAGGCCGCCGCTAAATCTGCATTCGCACCACTTAAAAAAAAAGGGCCACAATTTCAAATTTTCAACCCCCCGCTAAACAAACTTGCACAGTTTGAAACTCAAAAGGGGAT